ATCTACAATTTTTAGCCAGGCTGCAGTTTCCTATACCAGCAAGAGGGAGAGCCACTTACTTAATTTTATAATTCTATAATAATATTCTCTAATTCTATAATAATAATTTCTTATTCTATTTTTTTTTAAAATTATATGAAAATCTATGAATAAACAAAACAATATACAAATTTTATTTTATAATATTTTTAATATAAGTTTTTTTTAAAAAAATTAAAATTACATATCTCCTAACTATGATATAATTTAATTTATATGGGATGGTAGTTGGTTTTTCATTTCTATTTCAAAAAGTGAATAGGCGCATTTAGTAGTTGCATTATCTTACTCAGAGTTGTAAAGGATCGAGATCAAAAGATCGGCAATCCTGGATTCAATCTTATTTTGGAAATTACCTGGAAAGATTTTTATATTTATATTAGATTCAAAAAAAAAATTTTTTTTTCATTAATAATTAATATAAAATAGATTTTTTTAATATAAAATGAAATGATATATTTCCTCTCCATAATTTTTATGAATAATATCCGGCTTATTTGTTGAAATTTTAATCGAGACATCACTTACTCACAGCATTCATTCATAAGTCTTTTTAAATATTAAACAAAGATAAAAAAAATATCTACTTAGGTTTCACAATGTCTTTAACTAATGAAGTTGAAGATCAGAGTTGTTATACCCTACTTTTAAAAGTAGCGCTCTACCGCTATCACTAGTACCATTCAAAAAAAAGTAGCGCTCTATTATCTACAATTATTTAAATGAGATTTGGCTACTTTTTAGGCTACTCTCTGTAAAAAAAAGTATAGAAATAAATTTGTTTTATCTTTTGCTTATAAGAAATTTAATAGTATATATAATACATAAAAATCAACATTTATAAATATTTAAATATAGATAGTTTTGATTATAAAAAAATTTATGTAAAAAGATAATTATTTATGTAATTAAATAACTAAGTAATAATCATTTTTTATTTATTTTGTTGCATTTTAATAATAAAATCATGCAGTATTTAATTTTATATACATGTTTTTAATATAAGAAAAAATATGAAAAATATTATTTGAGTTTTTTCGATTTAAAAAACGCGTCTAGAGGGTATTCTATTCTATTATTATCATTTATTTCAAAAAAATTATCAGCGAAAGTCGTTTTTCTAGTTGTAACTAGGGCATCTTCAGGGCCAAGGTCACGGTAAGGGCAGCTTCCCCCCCCCAAAAAAATTTTTTTGGGTCCCTAAACCTGCCCCCCCCCCATATTATTTTTATATAAAAACATGTCTAGTTTGTAAATTTCTTTCTATCCTGTTTTATTTTATCGAATAATAAATCATCATTCATTCATATTTTATCATTTTCATGTGTTTTGTGTGTGACATTATATAGCCGCTTAATCACTTTTAAATTTTACTTATTTCAATGATAATTATTTTATTTATTATTGTTCGATCTCAATATTATTATTATAATACAAACAGTTATTTAAAACAGCTCTGAATATTTTAAAATTATGAAGAAAATACTGAGATAACAACAATTTTGGTAAGCCAACAAATTAAGCGTAATAAGGTTACGTTTAATCACAGGTGATACAAAGTCTTTTAACTTCGACATAGAATATCAAATGCAATGTTTTCATACACCATCCAAAAAGATCCTGAATTAAATAAAATTATGAAATTTATACCCAAAATGCTCAATATACATCACCCAGATTCAAAACGAAGTAATATCTATTATGGCAGATATCGTTCTTGAATATATTTCAGATAAATAAAACAAAAGTGAGATGGCTTTTATTTGTTTTAAGGCTGATGAGACAAATGAGGCATAAGGTTGTGAAAATCTGAGCATAATTATTCCCTATATTTTTTCTGGAGAAGTCCAAAAAAATTTAATAGAAATTATTAATTTACCAGTGTAAAGTTAAGTCCATTATTTATTGATTTCTTGGATATTTTGTTTTGAAAACAAAAACCTATTTCAATTCTTTTATTAATTTAAATTTGTCAAAAAGGTTATGAAGAAGAAAATAAGAAATAATATTGTTGGTAAAATTCATGGGATTAATTAATTTATTAAATATATTCTTTTTATTTTATTATTTTATTTATGTATGAATATTTTAATCATCAATAAATATCTATTCCGGCTCATACGTCATCGTGACGTCATGTCATCACTACGTCATGTCATAGGTACGTATTTATTTATTTATTTGTTTATTTTATTTATTTATTTATTTTATACAAACAGATGATCCTATAACTTAAATTTTCTATGCAACTGTAGGAGGCCATATTAAAACCAAAAAGTAATACATTATTTACTATTGTTGATTTTATTTATTTATTTTTTACAAACAGATGATCCTATAACTTATATTTTTTATGCAACGTAGGAGTCCATATTAAAACCAAAATGTAATACATTATTTACTATTGTTGATTTTATTTATTTATTTTATACAAACGGATGATTCTATAACTTAAAATTTAAATAAGTTAATTCAATAAATTATATATCTCTAGGCTTGGGAAAATTTTTTCAAAATTATTATGGGTTGGACTGGGCTTAAAAGTTATTTCTCAAAATTAATATTGGCTTGGTTTTCAAAGATTATTTGGGATTGAAATGGGCTTGAGAAAATCTTTTTAAATTATTAAGATCTTGAATGCTTGGAAATTTTTTCCAAATATTCTAGGCTTAAACCTATATTGGGATTTTTTAATGTTAAATGTTAGTCTTATGTTATTATTTTTATAAAGTAATATATTTTACCCTTAGACTAATTGGTAAATCAGAGATTTCCCCTCCATTAATTATAAATTTAATATCTCTAGGCTTGGTTTCAAAATTATTAGGGATTGAGGTGGGCTTGAGAAAATCTTTTTAAATTATTAAGATCTTGGATGCTTGGATATATTATCCAGATATTGTAGGCTTGAACCTAGATTGGGATTTTTTAATGTTAAATGTTAGTCTTATGTAAATATTTTTATAAAATATATATTTTAAATCAAAGAATAGTTTTCAGTAACAAACAAAATGTAGTATGATTATACTATGGCGACAACATATGTATCCCTACTAAAGATATTACTAACATTCATTATTTTAACAACAGTCTCAAATAATATGGGAAAAATCAAAATTTAAAAATGCTAAAATTCTCTTTTCCTTTCTTTCCCATTTAATTTCTTTTATCTTCCCCTTTCTCTTCATTTCCCTTTCCTATCTTCACTTTTTAATTTTCCTTTTCTTTACCTTCCTTTCCCTTTTAATTTCTCTTTTTTTTTCCATTTAATTTTCTCTTATTTCCCTACCACAGGCTACACACTCCAGCAAAAAGCTGGCCTTATTATCATTCAATTCTTAATTCAACTCATATTCAAGCATAAAAATTTAACCATCTGTGAGGCGGGGAAAAATTTTCAAAACTATAAGGTTAATGATGCTTATTACCTTAAGGTACTACCTATCAAATTTGAATTTTGTTTATTTTTCATTTGGATAGGCACTACCAAATATATTTATAATATATATATTTGAAAAATCGTGATTTTTGGAAAGCCTCTGGCTAAGTAAGCAAGAGCTTAACTTACTCATCCCATGGTCGCGGGTTCGCATCCCGAGAATGGTCATGTTTTTTTCTTAATCTAACTTGGTGGTTCCATTCTTGGGGGAATGATATATAGAAGGCCGGACTCGACACGTGATTCCGTTATAAAAATAGATTAAATAATAAGGGTCTTATTACATTTTAATAAATTTTGGTCGGTATTTGGAATATTTCCATACATTCACTTGGTAGTAAGCATAATTAACCAAACTATAATGGGTAGGACTGGGCTTGGAACCTCAAAATTAATATTAGCTTGCACCTGACTTGAGAATATCTTTTACAAATTAATAAGGGTTGAGCTGGGCTTGATAAACTTTTTTAAAATTATAAGATCTTGGATGCTTCCTAATATTGTGAACTTGAACCTGGCATGACATCTATCGTAAAAAATGAATAAAAATCTTATTCCCCGTCATTTTTGACAGGCTTTCTAATAGTTTTAATTATGAATCAATATTTATAATTGTAAGCAATCGGTTTATTATTTTCCCATTGAATTTTAAACAAAAGAATATATAAAAAATTCAAATCATCGTTTTAAAAAAAAATGCGTTAGGCGGTGTTCTAAATACAAAAAATATAATAAATTTATTATTTATGAAGAAAAAAATAACATAAGCTTATTTTAATGTAAAAATAAAATAGTGTTCAAAATCATTTATTTCATTAATAAATTTTAATAAAATGAATTTGTGTAATTTTTGTGAAAAAACTAGTAAGTAATATTAAAGTATTTGGTGGCATTGTTAATTTTATTTTAATTTTTTTTGTTATTTTTCGTTATATTTTATTTATTTTTTTCCCGTTATTCTCTCATACTTTATTTTAATTTTTACACAACTTTAAAAAATATTAATTAAAAATATGTTATAATTTTATTAACTTGCTAAAATTTATAGATTTTGAAGTTTTTTAAATATATATGTGACACAGCCTTAATAATAATAGAATCGGTTAAAAAATGGTCATTTTGAAAGAACCTGTAGGGTTTAAAATGATAAATATTCTTTACACAATGCTATTTATGTATATCAATATTCGTTAAAATAATGTTAATTTTTATAAAATTATTTTATATCTTATTAGAGGAAAACAAATAACATATGATTTAAATTTACCTTTTCAGGTGATCATCTATGGATTTAAGTACTAATATTGTTAATGTTCCTAGGAATATAAATATTATATACCTTAAATCGATAAATGAAGAAAGTTTTCTATTGGCACAACTTGGTTGTATAACTATATTTAGATATATTAAACCTTCTGAAAAAAAATTGAGTGCATATTCTTCTAATGATAGATTTGTAAAAGTTGAAATACCTATAGATACTGATCATGAAGTATTATGCTATGATTCCAAAAATCAATATATGAAAGTAGAAGAGGGCATTAATATAAATAATATTTTGATTGCATTATCTATTTCAAATGGAGATTTAATGATCATTGATTATAATTTGAATAAAATTATAAAACAATATAAAGCTCATGATGCATCTTGTCTAGCCTGCAGATGGAATAATCAGCAAAATATTATTGCAACAAGTTTATATATATATAATCATATCAAAATTATAATTTTTTAGGTGGAGAAGATGCTAAAATTAAAATATGGTCTCATAATTATATATTATTAACAATGTTAAAGACACATGATAGTATAAAAATATGTAATATTGTTTAATGACAATTTTAAGGTTTTTCTATATTCTATTTATATTGGCTATCTGACTTTCATACATTGATATATAATTGTAAAAATAATATATGCTTATATGATATAACCCAGGAGAATAAAAAATCTAAAAAAGTATAATGTATTTTAACTAATAAAACTATTTTAATTATAGTTTGATACCTCTCATGATATAATATCTTTGTCTACAAGAAAATTATATACTGATGTTAAAGTTCACCTTATTTTGACATTATGTAGTTTGTATATAAAATTATGGGAATTACAAATACAGGATAATGATAATGGGCCAATCATTTTTTTGAAGAATCTTGCAATCTTTAATTTAAGTCGCAATGAAGAAAATATTAACATTTGCTGTGGATACATTGAATGGAACCCAAATCAATATGCAACTATGAGCTTTATTGCTATATATAACAATAACCTTAATCAAACAAAAACTGACTTAATATCCTACTTTCAAATATCAAATTTAAATGCCTTTAGTAAATATGAAATAATAGAAAAATTACCCATTGCACCTACTTTAAAACATTACGTATCATCTTCACCATCCAAACATTTTAAATCAAGCCAACAACTATTTACATGGTTCCCATCTGGTCTTAGATTTATATATAAATCAACAGCTGGCATACTTTATGAAATTTTTTTTAATTATAAGTAAAATAATTTTGTCAAACATTGTTTTTGATATTTTATTTATAGAAGCTTAGCCTGGTCAAACATGCAAATCAATTTTATAAATGAGAAATGTTTTGAAATCAAACATTTTAAAATGATTGGGAATATTAGTGGAGATAATACCTTAGAAGTTGTGAAAGAAGAATTTACACTAGAAGATGTTGTCACAAATTTTTCATTCAAATCTGATAATTTTATCCTCATAACTTTTGATCATATCTATATATATAAGTAATTTTATTTATTTTTTAAATTAAGTCACTTTAAAATGATTGAATTTTATAATATTAGAACCCCAAATTTCTCTATTCCCAATATATTAACATTGCCATCAGGATTGCCAATCAAATTTATATTCCAATCTTGCAGGTTAATAGGAATATCTTAATAATTTGATGTGAAATCAGAGTTTGAAATACTTTTCAAAATAGAAAATCTTTGTTTTGATCTCTGAATTTAATGAGAATGCTCAAAAAGGATTTTTAATCAAATTTTACATAAAATTTCAAATCTTTTTTGTAAGAATTTTTTATGTAAATCTTTTGTAATTTTATGCACTTCATAGATTTGCCACAAAAAATTTTGGGCAAAAAAAACCTTAAATATTTTGTATAATTTTTTTTTAAACTCTGTGTTAAATATGGTATTTTAGTAAACATTTTGATTCCAATTTATATATTTTTCATAGGTGTAGCCAAGAACGTGGTAACTAACTCCTTTTAATTGAGATATAATTTTAATTTCCATAAACAGAAAATGACATATTTATACTATCTGTCTATGGGGTTTATGGATTTTACCCCACCCATATAAATTTTTATATATCCCTCCACTCCTCTCAATGAAACTATGCTTAAGCCTTTAAATTTTATTTCATAAAATATTTGTAAGATTTTTATTGTGAGAATGTTAATTCTATGATGCATTACTAACTGAAAACAAACTATGGTATAAAAAATTAACTAAGGTTGGTAATGTTACAAAGAATGCCATTTTCCTCTTTGTCAAGGAGAACATACCTGAGAAGGAGTGCTCGATTTGAGCAGATTTTTAAAACTACTAACTTAATATTTAAGTCAGAAAAATATTTACTAAGCCTCTAATAGATATCCACACCTATGAGCAAAATATTTAGGCTTGTGTAATTATATTCTGGATAAAATATTAAATCAGCCGTTTTTAAAAAATCGGCTCAAATCGAGCCATTTAATAACACTACTGAGTACTATTAACTCTGAAAATAAATCAAATAGGTTAGCCTTTTTAATATACCTAGGGAGCACCAAGCACTAATGAAATTATTAAAAAAATGAGCCCAATCCCTCACCATAAATGAATGAATTCACAAAACATTTAATAAAACGACCCACATAACGAAAACAAAAACCTGTTTACTTAAAAGATTATGTAACTTAACTTAATATAAAGTAATAATAAAATATAACACTAACGCGAATTTAAATTAAACATTAAAAATATGATATAAAGATTGAATTTCAATTATAAATTTATAACATACTTTCATAGTTATATTTTTCTCATTTTTTAATAAACCATATTTTTTCCATTAATAGTTTCTAATTTTATATGATTATTAAGTATATTTTTGTGCATTTTAATCTATATTTTTAACATTTTTTTAAGATATAATATAAATTTATATATCAAATTTTAAATGTTTATAAAGTTTATATTTTTTTACAAAGTTTCTTTTCGAGACATTTTTTTTCTCTCTCTTTAGCTTTCACCTTTTCTGGTGGTAAGCTCCTCAATATCTCTCTCCACTTTATGTTATTCATACTATCTTGTTTATCTAATTTATACTTCTTCATATTGGCTCTAACTTTATGGCCCCATTGAAGTTTTGGCCTTCCTCTTTTACGTTTACCCATCACTTCCAAACTCTCAACCTTATTTCCATGTAGTTCACAGGCCTTCTCATTGTATGCCCATACCACCTAAGTCTGTTTACCATTATCTTAGTCTTAATGGGCACTACTAAACTTCCTAGTCGCACCTTATCCTTTCTTGTTACCCCAGCAATCATCCTCAGCATTCTCATCTCCATAGTTTGTAGACTTCTCTCGTCTGTTTCTTTGGTTGGCCATGTTTCCGAACTATATAGAATAGTTAGTTGTACTATGGGACTGTAAATTTTTCCCTTCAATTTGTGTGGGATTCTTTTGTCAAGGAGCACTCCAGATAAAGATCTTCACTATAACCACCCTTGATTAATTTTACTGTTTATCACTTTCTCTATTGTGCCGTTTGTTTGTATAGTGGAGCCCAAATATTTGCAACTTTCAATTGCCGATATCTGCCATTCATTTATATCAATGCTCTCTATTTCATCTCCTCCTACCACCATATACTTCGTCTTTTCTCTATTTACTTTTAGTCCGTACTTTTCTAGGATATTTATCTAGCTCACTAATCTTTCTTTCATTTCATCCTTGGATTCGGAAAGTATCACAATATCATCTGCAAATATCATATTCCACAGGACTGCTTGTGGTATAGAATGTGCTAATACATCTATTACTGTTATGAAGAGAAGTGGGCTGAGAGCCGACCCTTGATAAACTCCCTCGGCTATTGTGAAGCCTGTTGAAGTACCAGTTGTGCTACGGACCATTGTTGTATGGCCTATATACATATCCTGTATTATTCTTATATATTTTTCGGGAATCTTTGTGGCGTAGCGCCCACCAGATAAGTTTTCTTGGGATTCTATCGAAGGCCTTTTCGATCGAGAAAGACCATGTGTAGCTTTTTGTTCTTTTCCCAGTATTTTTCACTCATTTGCCTAATTGCGTGGATAGCATCAGTTGTTGATCTTCCAGGCATAAAGCCAAACTGTGTCTCTCCTACTTCAATTATATCTCTTAACCTTTTTTCTATTATTTTTTCGTAGAATTTAAGACAGTGTGACATTAGTTTTATGCCCCTGTAATTTTGACAATTGTGTGGATCCCCTTTATTTTTGAAGATAGGAACTAGATAGCTCTGCCTCCATTTTTGAGGGATATCTACATTTCCTAGTATTTTATTGTACAGATTTGTGAGGAAATGTATTCCATCATCTCCTAGTGCTTTAAGGCTTTCTATTGGAATATCATCTGGACCCCTAGCTTTGTTGTTTATCATATGCTTGAGACACGTGATTATTTCTTGTTCTGTTATTTGTATAAGGTTTTGACTTGGGGAGTGTTCGTCTAGATGTAGTATGTGGGGATTAAAGTTGATAAGCTCCTGAAAATATTCTTTCCATCTATTCATTATATCTTTCTCCTTTATTATCAATTTCCCATCTTTATTTTCGATTACTTTCATCCCTAGAATTCTTTTCTCGCTGTTTGGCTAATCTGTATATTTTATTTTGCCCTTCTTTGGTATGTAGTTCTTCATACACGTCATCTTATGCCATAGATTTGGCCCTAGCCATCGCCTTTGTAGCTATTCTCTTGGATTTCTTGTAATTTGTCTTGTCATCTGGGTTTTTTGATTTGTACCATATTTTATAGGGCTTTTTTCTCCTTTATAGTAGTTTGTACATCTTCATTCCACCACCATAATTCTTTGTATGATTTGTTGCCTCCCCTTGTCAAGCCTAATGTCGATTGGCATTGTCTATTAATCTGGATGAAAGGTCTGTCCACATTTTTTCACTGACTTGTGAGGAATCTATTGTTTCAATGTTTGCATTGATTGCAAAGGCATCTGTCATTGATTTTAATATACTCCATTTGATGCATTGTTCAAGTTTTATCTTGTTTTGAGTGGATTTATTTGTGATGTGTAAATCCATGACTAATAGCTTGTGTTGCGCGGCAATATCTTCTCCTTCTGCGAGAGACAAGCATGTAATCTACCTGGGTTTTCCTTGTACCACTTTCATATATTATTAAATGACTGTCCTTTTTCTTATAGTAAGTGTTGGTTATGGCAAGGTCGAAGGCTTGCCCAAATTTCAGTACATGCTCTCCTTCATCATTTCTTTCTCCATATCCAAAACCACCATGACGCCTTTTGTAGCTATCTCTTGCTTTTCCCACATGCGCATTTAAGTCACCACCTATTATGACTAGTACATCTTTAGGGATTTCCATTACAGCTTCATCAAGAATAGCTCTAAAGTCTCTCTTCCTTGCAACCCGTTTGAGGAGCATATACTGAAAGGATGTGTAGTATTGATTGACCAATGCAGAGTTTTATCTTCATTAGTCTATCATCCTGTTGACTTCTACTACTGAGGAGGTTAGATCTTGACTGAGGAGGATTCCGACACCGTTCCTATTGCTAACAATTCCATTATAGTACAATTTATACCCATCTCCAATCATTAAACTCTTCTGACCTATCCATTTAGTCTCTTGTATGCACGCAAATCAACTTTTCTCTTGTTCAACATTGATGCCAATTCTTTCGTTTTTCCTTTAAGTGTACCAATATTCAAACTTGCTAACATATATAATCGGCGTTAATTTATTTTTGTTATTATTATAAAATATATTTAATAAATATAAAATAAACGCCGATTATATATGTTAGCGCCAATGTGTTATTTTTTGAACTATCATTTTTTGAACACGTTTTTTTAAATTTAAAATACTTATTTCACTGGAGATGTATTCCAGCATTCTTAGAATACTTATCATACTAATTGTAGACAATTATGCCGTTAACCTTTAAGTCATTTATAATTTATATAAAAAATATATAGAAAAACTAATACTTGTTAATATAGATTGGATTTTTTTTGTTATAAAAGAGTATGTGATAATTTTTAAACGATTCTGTTCAAATCACATTAAAATAAAAGTATTAAAATTAAACCCGCATAATAGATCCATTTTTCGTATCTATTTATAGATGCATTTTAATGCATTTCGGTTTTTTATTATGTATTTTTTAAAAATATAATCCTAATTTTTGTATAAAATTTATCAAATACTTCTCCGAGCTTATTTTTTTCCAATTCAAAACAAGTTTTATTTTATACAATGGATGGCTAATATGATAAATATAAATATTATAAATTTTTAGAGCATCAATATTTATAATATTGGTGAAGAAGAAATAAAACACAGCATACGCAAATTTTCAAACTTGATTGGACTAGTTTAAACACAGCGATTAGTCAATAAACTTTCAAAATATCTATTATTTTTTTTAACACACCAATAATAAGGATATACATTTTAACACCCATAAACTATGACTGAATATTCTAAAAAGGACTGACTATATTTAAAAGTTATCCTAATATTAAGGTGTATCCATAAAATACAACAATATCCTTCCTTCTAAGCACCTGTTGAAAAACTTTTTAATATGTCTAAACGTAGGTGTCTCAATGACGAATATGAGAATTTTATTAATAAAAGTTTGCAATGATAGTTTTTTAGTAATTAAATTATATATTTTATACATAAATAAGACATCAAACTGAATAAAAAAATGTTTGGTTCTGAGTTTTATCAATATATTTTCAATTTTGGCATTATGCAAACTTTACAATAAATGTATCATGGAAAAATTACATCTGTCTTTATATATATATGGAAAATATCTTTTTGTACCATTTTAAATTAATTTTTGTATTTAACCGACATATAGTTGCTCCTCTTTAAACTGCCTTGATTACACCACTATTACTATACTATCAATATTTATATTATTTTTTTAAACGAATTTGATAAAACTTATATTTTTAAATATATTGTTTCAGATTTTTAAAGTTTTATTTAATATAAGGATATAATCAAAATGGATTTAGAACATAGAAACAGATATAAGCTCCTTAATAATTATCTAACCACTGTAATTAATTATTTTATTATAAATCAACTTAATTAACATGTCTGAAAAAGCAATATCTTTATCTGGTCTTTGCAGGCACATAGCCAGAGATTTTCTATAGAAGGAGTGAAGTAAAAATTTATTAGACCTAACAATATTTTAAAAATTACGAACAAATAATAAAATATTGGAAAATACAAAATAATAAGAGCGAATATAAATTAGTTTTTAAAAATTTGATGTGTATAAACCGGATCATGGAATTAAACATTAGTTATCAAGATATCATTTTCATAAATGGAAATGTTAATCTACTTTGAAATTAAGTCATTTTTAAAATAAGTTGCTCCGTGTTGGGGATAAAATCTCAATGTGTATTAAGGGGAACTAATTCATTCAATCGATCTGATCTTACTTTTGAGATAGATTATTTATTCTCCATAATGTAAAAAACTCTTATTTGTGCTTATTGTTATTTTTGGCGAAATATACGGTAATATTATTACTCCATAGCGTTTCTTGGAAGATTATCAGAATTAATCTCTTATATTAAGATTTAAATTCTGAAATTAATTGGCCCTCAGAAATTTTAATATCCTCTGAATAAAATGGAAATATTTTATATTCTTAAAAAATTTTTTATGACACATTGTGATACCAAAGTCTAAAGATGTAAATCAGGAATTTATCTTTACCGTGGAAATTCATTGGAAAATTCTCAATTTTTTCCTTGGAATTTCCCTATTTTTTTTTATAATTTAATTTGTCATGAATTATATTTGCAAATAGAGATTAGTATTTATAATACATTAAAAAATCTAAGTGCACTGGTAATGTTGAATAGTAAATAAAAATAAAGATGTGTCATAAGACAAGAAGTGTCAAGATTTAGGGAAATATTATTTTTAGATATTGAAAGTTTTGGAAATATTTTAGAAAAAATAGTATCTTTTTATAATAGATTTCTTCTAAAATTTATAAGGAGCGGACTCTGCAATTTTATGATGTACCAGAAGTGTTTAGATACAAAGAAAATCTTGATGTTTTATTAACACGATTCCCTCTTATATTTTCAGAAATTACGCTATTAGTAAAATGGAAATTGAAAGATAATTGTCGCCCTTTCAGTTTAGCATGCTAATTTGAAACAATATCACTTAAATTAAGAAATTTGGAATGGTAGGAAAGTGTAAAAGATTTAAACTTGGTAGCATGGCTTAGGAGACTTAGCTCAACCAATATATAAATACGACTTATCAATACCAGCTACCAGTTCAGCATTATAAAGAAAAATAGTATAACCGGCTGGTGCATTAAAAGTTTGAAACAAATTTAAAAAGGTATTAATATGCATAAAGATAATACAGTTCTGTAATATAAGTCATAATTATTAAATTTCTAATTTTGATTATAGATATCTAACGAGACTCTCATGTCCAAACCTATCGAAGTTGATATGTGGAATACATTTATTTGAATGTTTTATTCTCAATTATTTAAGATTAATAAAAGTAATTTTTAACAAATGTAATACACAAAAGTAATAAAGGATGGTTTATTATCATATCCGATAACATAGAAGTAAGTCTTAATTTTAGAATAATTTCACATCCTCGATATCTCCCCCATTTTCTTATTTTTTTTTAGGTAAGGAAAGAGTTTATAGTTAGATGCGAAATAAGATGAAGGCTAATAAAATAACCGCAAATTTTATTATTTCATTCATATTTACGAAAAAATTTAATAGAAATCATATAAAAATTTTTTATTAATTAAATATAACAGTTATTTTGGTTTGGTTAGAGGACCGCCCGAATTTATCCAAATTTTTAACTACGATGGAACACTTAAACGATCTTTGAATTTCGATCCAGATTTTCAAAATATTAAAGGGAGAGACGATAAAAGTTTTGATTTTCAAAGCAGGATTGAGTCACACTTTTTTGGGAATTCTAACACATCTCCCGGCAAAAGAACGGTTGCGGATTACTTGTCACCTCAGCATATTGATATGTGCGCCAATGAATTCCTGATAATCAAAAGCCCATTCGAATCGAATAGTAAAACAAACAAAAAAAGAAATCAAAATCCATTTTTTTGTGACTTTGCATATGTTATCGTGTCAACGTTTTGTATTGTGATTTGTGATGTACTGATGGTAATCAATAAATATATTTTGAATCTATTTATAAAAAAGGAATAACTTGTAAAATTTGAGCATAATTCGAGACATGATTTTAAATAATTGAAAAATTTCCCCGGTCCATAAACAATTTACGAAATGTCAAGTCCGGCCTATTTTTAATATCTATATCTAATTTATAAAAATTAACACTATATTTTACTTAAAAACTGTTTAAGTTCCTTGTTAGGTTCACCTAAATCAAGATAAATTAGCTCTTACTCCTAGATTTGTCCTGCATGTGTAAAAAAGTCTCCACCTCAAAAAATAAAGGCCACTCCCTATTTATTATCATCTTGTTACACCATTCGAGTGTTTTATGTTCCTTAGGATTTATTTAAAAAATACATTGCAAATGATAAAATTTCCAAATATTATTTCTTTATAGACTTCGCTTTGTACAACATAGTTAGCAACCAAAGATCCCTATTTTCACTGACCTTACCCAAACACTTAGGGCCAGTTGAATCACTTTTATCTAATTCATCTGCTCCTGTTTACGTAAAACTAGTCGATGATTCACATAATAATTCCATACCACCATCTCTTACTTTCTATAAAGAGGTAGAAAAGGGTTTCTTAAATAAAGAATTGAAAAAAAATGAGGAATCCCGTGACAATTTTGGATTAGAAAGGCCTGGAAGTGAATTAGGCGATTATTGCGTTACCTCGTTTAAAATCTGGCCTCATATAATATACCCTAATATTTATAACGAACAGGGTAATTTGAATAACGATGTAAGCCAGCTCACTTGCATCAAAAATCAAAATATATCTTATCTTTCCTATCTGTTAATGGCGATCACTATAGATAAATCAACCAACCAATCAAGGGGCAATTTATCTTGCCTTGGAGCCTTATGTTTATTAAAAATTCCTCTTAAAATTATCAAAAATTCGGCCGATACATCTGATTTATATCATAAACTCGAATTGATACCGTTTACTAACCCTCTAAACAATGTTGAATCGTATCATTCAGACCTCGATTGTTTCACATCGGCTTACCATTGGCTAGAAAACGTTGGACATGACCTTAAACAGAACCCTTCATTGACCTTTACTGCTCTCTCATCGCGTAAAGCTTCAGAAAGAGGCGCTGATTCTTTATTCCAAAGCGTTTATCAAGATAGTTTTAATCTAAAAAATGATGAACATATAAAAGCTGGAACCTATATAACATTTTTTTTACCAGATCTACTTGTAATCGATACCCAAAAATTTATTTGCAGCTTGATCCAAATTGATTCCGTTAATAGGTATTGGCATATTAGTTCATGTATTTAATTTAAAAGTTTTACTTAATATTTCATTAGAATATCAATATGCTCCTCAAATTTTATGTTAGTTTCTTTGCTTTTTATTAGATTTGTATTGCATTTCTGATGAAAAAGAAAATTCCGAATAAATGATATTATCCAAGACCATTTTATTTACCCACTAAAAATATTTCTAACCAATTTTTACAGATATGGATTGGATGTACAATTGGAAGGCTTTTATCATTGCCCCTCTAAAAACAAAAATCAAGCCATGCTCTATGTTTTGATTTATCACATGACTTTAAATATCCACATGAGATTTTTTGAGTTATTAAACGAGGGCGTTTCACTCTTAATCACATCTGAATCTAATAACGAAAACGTTTTAAGTCACTTGGAAGATGATAATCATTGGTGTCTCTTCCTAGCGAAAGCGTTCCAAACCAGAGATTTTGACAAAATAAAAGTGGCTTACATCCATTTCCGAGAGGTATTTTCAATTGATTTAATTGAATCAAAGGTTTAGAATATATAGCTTTTTTATTTTACCTTGAATTACTTGAAATAAAGTATAGGCTAATTTTTTGATTTTATCAAACTTGAGTCTTTTATTATAAAAAAATAGACAATAGTATAATGGATGAAAATGAATTTATAGTTATTTACAGATATTAGTTTTAAAAACAAATTTCTGAAAATTTATATTACTTTTTAATAAATAACAACTAAACTCTTTAAAGATCGATAAAGTTATGTATCTCAAGCGATTAGATCTAATAACCGATGTAAATGTAAGAGCAGCAGGCCTAAATTTAATTTGCAAAGATTTAGATATGTGCGAGGCCTGGTTGATGCACCCAATGAATAATGGAAAACATAAAGATAATCATCAAAATATTTCTAGCTTTAGACCTTTTTGGATATCTTTGAACTTTCTTAACTGGGAAAGGTAGAAAACAGAATTTTTAATAAAATGCTAGTCTCAATTGATCACGGTAAGGTACTATACTATTCGAATAAAAACAAAATTTCGACCCTTCTAAATAAGATTATTTTACATATTCTGTTCCAGGCCTTGCCAATAAAGTAAAAGTTTGAATGGAATTGTGAAGTTTATAATTTAAATATAAAGTTGTTTATGTTTGGCATAGGCCTCAAACAGGGATATAATACAATTATTGAATAATCTTCGACATGCCTCATTTAATTTTTTTTACAAAGGGTTTATAAAATTTATAAGGAACGGATTGAAAACACCATTTTTGAATCATTTAAAATAAGTGAATTAAAAAAAAAGATGTTATTATTAAGATGATGTTTTAAGTAATGTTATTTTTTTTTTACTTAGGGCTTATAAATGGGCTAAGGATAATCCCAATTATTTGCTGATATTGACAGCTTTTAGGAAAAGGTTTTTAAAGGAATATTTTCCCGATGTTAAAGAAATAATACCAGAGTTTCTTAGCCTATCAAGAGTGATGAAGCAGGAGGTTTAAAAATATATTTAAAAAGATATTTATATTCATAGAAGGAATTATTAATGAATTGGGATACCGTCAAGGATTTCTTAAACAAAGAATTAAACCAAAATAAGGATTTATTATATCTTATCTAATATTTTAGATATGTCTTGCATGTTACTATTATGAATTTATTATATTTTGTTTGATGTAAATACTACATGGTTATATAAAATATATCAATAATATTTTTATTTTTGATAAAATAAATTGTTTCTTTGGCTTTTGGTAAAAGATTTGAATTCTTTAAATCTTATACGAGATCTACACCTAACTAAAAAGTTATAGAAATATTTATATGCCTAATTTTTGCGGATAAAATAAAGGTTTAGTAATAAATATTGGAATAAAGTTCACAAAATTATGCTGCAAAAATTTCTGAGAATTTTTTTAACACTATTTAATGACACCGCAGAATGGCAGATGTTGGAGGAAAAGATTGGTTACAATAAAATTGATAAAATAATAAAAACCAATAAAAATTATCTAAATTAATTTTTAATGATAGAAATTTAAGAGTAGGGTCTAATGGACCCATTTGAACTAGTGGAAATCTTCGAAGGGGAGACCAGGGCTAGTCGTACAATTTTTGTCAAAATCATCATATCTCCGAAAATAATGATCGGGTAAGATCTTGCAAAATATCAACCGATATCTTAAACACTTACCTATAAATATACACATTATTTCACCTCAAAATTTTTAAAAAGTCATTTTTTAACCTAGTAGCCCCGAACCCATGGTTAGTCGGATCATCGATGGGTATAGTCGAAACAAGTGGTTTATTAGGCTTCCCATGAGAAAAAAATTTATTTAGAGTTTTATATAATATTCTATTTACAATTATAACAAATAAAATAGCAATCTTTTTTGGCACAGGACCCATACCCCCAACTTTTCTGCATTGAAACCAATCTTCAAAATTATGAAAATTTTTATAGTTTTGTTTAGATATAATATAAACATCTTTTATTAATTTTTTTAGCAATGTGATAAATATATAAATAATATAATTTTTTTAAATACCCTTTAACAGATAAACCATAAAAAGTTTTCATAAAACTAGATATTCAACCATTTTATTTTCCTCCTCATCATCAAATACTTTTTGTTTAATATCTTGGCCTATCGTGAGCATACTGCCAGCGATTTTAAATTTTTATAATGTCTTAAAAAATTAAAATAAATAAAAAATTCACTCAAAATTTATTTAAATATATAACATCATTTGATCTTATTATCAGGCCAAAATAGCATCCTGATAACTAAAATGTTCATATCTAATAAAATGTAATAATTTGATTCATATTATATTGTCACTTTTGTTTACTAAATATAATTCAATTTAAATAATTGATCTTATTATCAGGCTAATATTTATATATGGTAAAAAGTGTTCATATTTGTGATTAAATATAATTATAATTTAAATTTAATCAAATAATATGTCAATCACAGTATATACTTATCACAATATATATGTTGTATTTCATATCAAATCAAATGAAGATTCAACCCAACCCTCTTCGATTTTTTTTAAAATTTGTATGGTAGTATATATACACTAACTAGTAAAAATTAAATTTTAATTCCCAACGCAGCTTACTTCATGAGATTATTGTATCAATTATGTTTAAAATCAATAATGTTTTATTTGTAATTCTTTTATACTTTTATATAATAATCAAATTTAACTTCTTATAGTATGCAATTTGATTAACCTCGATAATATAATATTAAATGTAGGAAAGTTATAATATTACAAATATAATATTCAAATGATAACCTTTTAAAATATATAAGATATTAAGATATAACATATCTTATTTCCCACAAAGTTAAGATCGTCTATTAATTTTTTTGTTTACCAAGTTCAAGTTCATCTATTTGTTTCTACTGTTTTATCATCTCCTAACCTTATATTGTCATTTGTTTTTATTGATTTAGGTTCAACTGGTTCTTCCCTTATTCGTAGTTGGTCGGTATGTTTTTGTACGTTTTTTTTCTTTTTCTTCTCCCCTTTTCCAGAATTGTGATGGCGGATTCCCCTGATATACGGCAACCCCTGGTATATCTGCATTGTTTTTGACATCCACGACAGCTGTTTAGTTTTTCGACATCTTTATCTAATTGTTCCCACCATATATAATGTCTCGTAGTGGATTTCATTGATGTAATACCCGGATGTCCCGTATGCAATATATGTAAAATTTTTGAACTGAGTACGGAATGATTAATCTGCCATTCCAAAATAAAATACCGTCATCATTTTCTATTTCATCTATTCTTGTCCTAAAAGCTTGTAATTCTGGTGCTTTATTTTGTATATTTGTACCATTTATTAATAATTTTACCTTTCTTAAAATTGGATCTTTTGCGGGTTTCTAAGTTCTTTTGTTGATAGAGTTAATGTGTCATAAGTAAGATTTCTTATATATTCACTGTTTTATTTTCGCTTGTTATTCTATCATCATTTTTCTCTATTGGGTTTCGCGATAAAGCATCTGCAATTATATTATTACAGGGACCCGAACCGTTATTTATAGCGGTTCACTATGTAAAAAGTTATAATGGTTACGTTTTGGTTACGGTTCTTAAAAAAAATTTATGGTTCATTTCGGTTCAGCTAATTGTAAAGTTTTATAATGGTTCATTACGGTTAGAATTTTATTTTTATTGAAGCAACACCATCGTCTAATTTATTTTTATTATAAGCATCTATGAATTATATATATAAAAAAATATATATAAGTTTCAAAATAACCCATCTTTTAATATATTATTTGAATGCATAAGTAATATATTTTCTAATATAAATGGTTTCATATTTGTTCGTTGTAACGATAACTCATATTTTAGCCCCGAAAAGGCCCTTTCTACAGAAACTTGTGTTGCGGGAACCAACAGTACTATAAGAGCAAGTTTATATAATTCTGGATATTCAAATTTTTTCGCATAATCATATGCAGATAATTTAAGCCCAACGTAATAATCTTTGGTTTGTTAATGAGCTTAAATCTCTGTTATTACCATATATATTTATTAAAGGTTTGTGGTCCGTTCGTATTTTAAATTTTCGTCCATACAAGTAGTTATGAAATTTTTCTACGCCGTTTATTATTGCTTTGGCTTCTTTGTCTATTGTAGAATAATTCTTTTCAGCATCTTGTAAAGTTCTCGAGGTGTAAGCTATTGAAAATTCGTTACCATTATCATATTTTTGCATGAGTACAGCTCCAAATCCTTGGTTAGATGCATCTGTTTTTAATATTAACTCGAGGTCAGGTTTATAAAACTGTATAATATTTGATTTTTCAAATAATGTATCATCTTTTTTATTCCAATTTCATTTAACATTTTTACTAAGTATATTATGTAATTCGGCTATGATTCCATGTAAGTTTGGTATGAAACGTGTATGATAGTTTAATATACCTATAAATGATTTTATGTCATGTCTATCTTTTGGAGTTGAATATTTTTGTATTATTTTATTTTTATCTGGGTGTATTCCATTTTGATCTATTATGTATCCTAAATATGATACTTTTTCTTTCATAAAATTTATTTTGCTTGTTTTGACATTAAATCCCGCATTTTGTAATTGAGGACTTGTTTTATATATTCCATATGTTCTGTATCATTTTCCTGTGATTATAACATCATCTAAATAAACTGCTGTATCTTTACAGTCAGCCAGTAAATCGTCCATGTATCGTTGAAATATTATTGGTGCTGTAGCTATACCGAAAGGTAATCGTAAATAGTGGTGGTATCCATTTGGTGTTACCATTGTTAATAATTCTTGCGATTCCTCGTCAATACTCATTTTTAGATATGCATCTTTGAGATCTAATGTTGTATAATTATTTCCATTAGCGATCTTTGCGATTAATTCTTCAAACGTTGTAGAATGTGATGGTCTTTTAGTAAAAATTTATTCAATGTTACTTTGAAATCACCATATAATCGTAGTTCACCTGAAGTTTTACGTACCACTACCATTGGAGTACTCCAGGTTACTCTTATTGTTGATTGATTTTCTTTATTATGTTATTTTCTTCCAAACGTTTCAGTTCATTTTCAATTTCTACTTTTAAAGGCAACGGTACTCTTCAAGCTGGTAGTGCAATTGGTTTTGTATTTTTTTCCAATTGAAGTTTTATTGGTTCTATATTTTTTATTAATCCTAATTTATTATCAAACACCTTAGCGAATTCTTTAGATAGTTTGTCAATATTCACGTTACCCATTATTATTATATTTATTGTTGATCATATTTATTTTTACATTTGTTGGTAACGATAGATCAAATTCCATAGTCCATGGAAATCCAAATAGTGCTGCATCATGTTTTTGTAACTAATAACGGAAGCCATTTTATTTTATCATCTAGTTGATAAGCATCGCCCATAATTTTTATTCTATTATTTCCATATGTAGTTAGAGCTCTAGCCATTCTAAGTTTTGGCCTCCCAGTTTTATTCCATATTGATGCATTAATGATGGTTTCTGCTGAACCTGTATCATATTCTATTTTAATATCGTGGTTGTTATTAATACCGTAATTGTTACGTGCTGTCTATAAATGAAGACTTTTCTTATTGAGAAATCTGAATCGTCGTCGTTACTATTGTAATTTATATACCGTAAACTTTTCTTCTAGAGTTACAACACACGGCAAAGTGATTTGATTTCTTACATTTGTTACACGTTTTTCCATATGCTGGACAGTTTCTAATAGCATGAAAACGATTATAAAAATAGCACGGTTATCTTGTATTATTATTATTTGTGTGGTAGTTATTATAGCCTTGCATTGGTTCTCTTTTTACGTATGTTTTATTTTCATTTTGATTTAATCATTTATTATTATCATTATGTTAATTCGTCTCTTTGATTTTATAAACCATTTTAGTAGTATCATTTATTTATAATCGCTAAAGCCATTTCTAAAACTTTGTTTAAGCTTAACGGTTGGTCTTTAGTATCTGGGTATCTTAAACGTAGTTCTTTATCTAGTTGTGACATCTTTAGTCCAGCGATTAATTGATCGCGAATTCTTAGTTCTACATTATCTTCAAATTCGCATCTTCGGGCTAGTTCTTTTATATTTTTTAAATAGATCATTATGGATTTTGTTGGTCCGC